CATTCAATTTTCTTGACGTCTATCAACACGAAAAGACAAAGATGGCGACTTAAATCGATTGTTTCGCAAAATATAACGTGCTGAGTCTTGATCTTTCTAACCTGGTATTTGGGAGGGGCTGGCTCTTCAGAGAAATTCTTTCGTGTTCCTTCATTTGTAAAATAACTTTTACTCAAGTTAAGCAGATTTAATTGATATTCCCTTATGTTCTGTACCTGCACGTACCTCATTTAGCAACACACCTGAATACGGAATGGTAGGATTGGATTGCTACGAATGGTTCTCATACACCCGAAACGGTTCTGGGGCCAAAAAAAAATCATTATATCCGATGTGTTTCGGAGGGTTCGTCAGCTCTGACAATGGCAATCATCACTTAGTGTTAACACCATTTTAGTTAGGTGTAAATTTGCCTCCTCCTAATTTTTGACCTGTTTATTTAACGACGCTGAAGCTGGCCGTTATATTTAATAAATTTAGCATAAAAATGTCAGTGACAAACTGGTAATGCAGAGTCAACTGTTCTCATTCAAGAGACAGGCTGTTTCATAGTAGCCCTAGCTACTGTTTATGAATATTGACACTTGAACCAAGTTCATGAAATCTCATTTATGAAGTCTTATGGCAAAAAAAAAAATATTATTTTATGTAGCTGTATCACCTGTTCGGTTATCATGTGTCAGGTAAGATATTGTGACATGTATACCCCTTGCTCGGCAACGACCACGAAATAAGCATCTATACAACAGCGATTATTAGGTAATGGCTCTGTAAACAACGGTCATTATTAGGTAATCGCAGCAACAATGAAGTACTTGGGAATCGGCGTTCTCTACTCAGTCCGTGCGATAGCTACGTGATACAGCAATAGAAGAACTGCTGGCAGAGGTGTTTTTCTATGCAGTCAGCGCCGAAGTTAAATAACGAGGGCCAACTGCGAATACGAGAGAGTTTTGAGCNGTAATGGCTCTGTAAACAACGGTCATTATTAGGTAATCGCAGCAACTGATTCGTAACATGCAACAATGAAGTACCTGGGAAGCGGTGTTCTCTACTCAGTCCGTGCGATAGCTACATGAGACAGCAATAGAAGAACTGCTGGGAGAGGTGTTTTTCTATGCAGTCAGCGCCGAGGTTAAATAACGAGGGCCAACTGCGATTACGAGAGAGTTTTGAGAAGGCAGTGAGAAGAGTTTGGAGGTTGGTGTGAGATGGCCGCCAGCCTGGGAGTCAGTTGGAGCAATGAGTGAGTTGTGAGAGAGTCGCCGGCCAGTAAGGACATGAACAAGGAAGCCGAGAAAGCTACGGCGTTGGAAAACGCTACCAAGCGACAACCGGTAAAAATACAGGAAACAGAATGTTTCGTTACGTGCTGTAGTGAACTGCAGAGGGTGTGGATTAGCGATAGTGCTACAGTTACATGTAGTTTCGTTCTGTAGTTACAGTGAATCCCTTTACAAACTTACGAGTACTTCCGTCCTTAATGTAACTTTGTTTACAATTTTTCCATAATTTAAAATAATATTAAAATTAAAAGTAAGGCCGAAACATGTAGCGGTGTAATTGTAATTTTAATATTATTTTAAATTAAGGAGAAATTGATAACTCCGCAAAATTGTTCCACACATACTTCCACATTCCCTTGGGTCTTCCCAGTGGCGAGCGGTTAGTCGCTGGCTTCCCACCGCGGCGGTCCGGGTTCGATCCCAGGTCTGGTCAAGTGGGATTTGTGGTGGACAAAGTGACGCTGGGGCGGGTTTTCTCCGAGTACTTCGGTTTCCCCTGCCAATCTTCATTCCACCAAATCCACCATCATCATAATCACCCGGGGCAGGTTGCAATAGGCCAATCAGTGGCCGCCGTGCCGAGTGCAGCCAGTTGGACTCCACCCCCCACTAAGCGAATTAATTCACATTGCCTTCTACTGCCTCGGGTGGGTACTTTTGGTTTCAGTCTACAGCCTACATGCCTGACCTATTGTCGTTTCATTCTTTACCTTGTATACGCAGGAGATTATTAGAGTCATCTGACACGAAGTCGCAATAAAGATGTACCTAGTTCAATCCTGGCCATGAGCTCTTGCAGCCTTCACATAAGTTCACCGTCGTTTACTTCATCCTCTGAAGTCAATACCAGAACTTGAATTTAAAAATAGACCGTCATTAGCTGCTCCCACATTTCTTCGAAATTAATGTTCATAATCGCTCTATCATATTGTCACGATTTTATGGAGTGACTACAGACGAGGTTTGGATTCGTAATTTGATTGATTGAATAATATTGTATTTAAGGATCCTGTTACCTTGATGTATAACTTCACACTTACTTCCATCTTTAATGCAACCGTTTACTATAAATACATCAACTATATACTGTATTTCATTCCTTCAGTTTCCAATTATGGTACTATCAGTAGCTGAATATGCAACCATGATGCTTTCCCATGTTTTGTGTGGTGTGAAACTTCGCCATTCAA